CCTGGTCAAGGCGTCTGCGGGAGGCAACCAACCAATGTGTTTCTTTCAAATCGATGTTTCTCTCTCTGTGTCCCTTCTCCTTCCTCCATCCTCTCTAAAAACCAATGGAAAAAATATCCTCAGGTGAGGATTAACAACAACAACAAAAACATCCACTGTGTGTCATTCTTCCTATACAAGGAACACACAACATTCCCAAGGGAGTCAACCCCATCCACCTGCTCCCTCCATTTGTCTCAAAGTCCAGCATCTTGGGGTGACGTGCGGTCCTCTCCCTTAAATCCTGATGTGGGCTTTCGTGGTCTGCAACTCTATGCACCTAAAGACAGTTATCACCCTGAAGTAATAACTGGATCATGACTATTTAAAATCCCAATGGAGACTTTCTGTTTCTATTCATGGCAAGCTAGGTTATTTGGATCAAACTTCAAGCTTTTTAAAAAACAATTCCTAATGCTGGGTACTTTTTCAATTTCTTAAATGAGTAAGTGACATGAAAATATGGTAAAGAGGTATAAAGACACTGCTAAATGAAAATAGAAACCTAGAGATAAAATGAACATCAATTATACTTTTGTTCTGGAAGCATTTCCCAAGTCAGGAAAATGTGAAATTCTGTTTTGATTATCTGGTGGGGGAAGAAAATCAAAGTCCAGGATAGCATAAGGAGGGGAAATTGTAAGAAGACTCTTCTCACATAGTGGAGGCCTCAGAAAGCTACACCTCTTAGGGTGAGAGCAGACAGAAATGAAAGAACCAGCAAGTGCCTTAGTAACCTTGAGCACAGAAGTGTTGAACTTCATCGTATATAATAAAAACCTAATATGCTAAGTGTCCAGTCATCTGTTCAACCAATCAAAGCGTAATATGCTAGTGATATGCTAAGGGCGCTCGACCGCTCACTATGACATGCACTGACCAACAGGGGGCAGACGCTCTGACCGGTAGGTTAGCTTGCTGCTGGGGTCCCGCTGATAGGGACTGAGCAAGACAGGCCAGACTCACCCTGGAGCTCTCCAGAGGTCCCTCCCTGGATGGCCAACCTCCCTCATCCCTCCCCGACCTGATCTTGCACCAGTGGGGTCCCTCGGCCTGGCCTGCGTCCTCTCACAATCTTGGACCCCTCCAGGGATGTCTGAGGGCCAGTTTTGGCCCAATCTCGCAGGCCAGGCTGAGGGACCCCACTGGTGCACAAATTCGTGCACTGGGCCTCTCATTTCACTTAATCCTCAACCAGCAGAGCTCCCAGGACTCTTCTCACAGAAAGCTGCCTTCTCCAAATTCTACAAATATCATTTCAAATGTGATAGCCATTATCCAGGAAAAGATAATTAGACACACAAGAACCCTGACCCTATGCATGAAAATCAGCAGAAACAACGGACACTGTAACAGATACCGTTACTGCAATGATCAGGCACAAACTATAAGGCAATCAGGCTTGTCATGTTTAAGTAAACATTGTAACAGGGTAACCATAGGAACATTGGGAAGGATTCTGAGGTGAGAAAAGACTGGGTATGTTAGGAGATCAGAACTGAGGTCAGGGTGGCCAGTGTGTGTAGCGTCACGTTGGGTTCTCCTGTGTGACTCAGGGCCTCAAATGTGCCCCTTAGATCCGTCCTTCAACCTGGTTCCTTCCTGCTCAATCACCTCCCATGGCTCCCCTCTACCCAGGCTATAAAGTCCGTGCTTGGGCTCAGGGAGAGCCCGCGATTAGTGTGGGCCCTGTGGTCGGCTGGAGACCCCAGACCCCTCCACCCAGCCTCACCCGCTCCCTGGGTCCCCGCAGGCCCCAGCGCCCGCTGCAGACTCAGTGAGGCTGAAGCAGAGGTGACAGCACAGTTTTTTTCCCTGGGAACCTGCAAGGGGAGGTGTGTAGGGTCTGGGTGGGCTCCCGGGCCAGACAGCGCAGGGTCACTGTGGGCCGGCGCTCAGCGGCTCCACCCGCAGCCACAGGCCGCCCTCCGCGCGCAGGATGAGCTCGGGCTTCCTGCGCGGCTCCGCCTGGTCGCACAGGACGCGGAAGCGCAGCAGCGTGAGCGCCAGGACCACCTTCATCTCGGCCATGGCGAACGTCTGCCCGATGCAGTTCCTGGGGGCGAGGGGGAGAGGGGCTCAGATGGTGTCCGGGACCCCACTTCCGCCTGCAGTGATAGAGAAGGGGGGTAACCGCGCCCGGGGACCCCAGGCTGGCTGGCCACGGCCTCGGAGCCTCACCACCCACAGGCCACCCCCGCCCCCGCGTCGGACACCCGCTGGCCTCACCTGGGCCCCACGGAGAAGGGAATAAATGCCAGAGGCGACCTCTTCTGGGGTGTGTCTGGGTCGAAGCGGAAGGGGTTGTACACCTGGGGCGAGGAGGGCAGGATTGCTGGATGGGGACGCCCAGGCATCCCCAGAAAAGCACGTGGATACGCGGAAGGGGCGTGTCTGCTGTCCCGGGTCAGGCTCCCTCCCATCACCAGGGCCCAGGGGGGAAGGGGGGAGGGGCAGCACCTCGGGGTCCGGCCAGACTGACGGGTTGTGATGAACCCCGAAGATGCTGATGATACAGATGTTTCCTGTGCGGGGTAGGAGGGGCGGTCAGAACGAGGTCCCCGCTGAGGGACCAGCACCCCACCCCCACCCCCGGTCACGGCCAGCACCTTTGGGGATGACCCGGCCATCGGGGAGCAAGACGTCCTGGGTGCAGCAGCGGGAGATGACGGTGACCGGGGGGTGCAGGCGCAGGCTCTCCTTGATGCACATGGTCAGGAAGGGCAGCTGGGCCAGGTCGTCCCTAAGGACCCACACGGTTACCCACCCACAGCAGAACCAGACCCCCTCCCAGCTCCATGAGCTCTCGCTGTGTGAGATAATCAGTTCCAGGTGGGTCGAATAGCTCCAGACTCATTAGGTTGTGCACATTAAATGGGTACAGCTTTTTGTATGTCGATCACACTTCCATAAAGTGGTTTAAAATTCAAAGAGAAAACCAGTGTCACAAAACCAGTGTAACATTTACTAGAGAAAATGTTAGAGGTTTTTCTGAGCAACACAACAAAAGAACGCCAACCATAACAAGGTTTACAAATTTGCATTAAAAAAATATTCTGTAGCCCTAACCAGTTTGAAATCAATAAAAAATATATATATTTTAAAAAGAATAATAATAAAAAAGAAAATGTAGGCTGGTATTTTTAGAACCATTTCTGAGCAAAACACAACACTCACACGGTATTCTTAAAAGCATTAGTACATTTGCCTAAGAAGCTTTTTAAATTATATCATTACCTTAGAGCAAAAACACATCTCTCTATGATGAACTTGGAAGGTTATTTGAATAACTAAGATCCACTCCACACTCTAAGGTTGGATGACCTACTATGAAAGTGTCAATTCCATCTAAATGAATCAATATATTTAATGCAATCCGATAAAAATCTACTTGTGGTTTTTTGGGAACTTGGTTGTTATCCAATTTGAAAGAATTAAAGTTCATTAAGAGCTAGGTCAATTTAAAAATAAAAGATCCAAGAAAGAGAATTCAGTCTACCAGATATTAAAATCCATCACAAAAATGCAGTAATAAAAAACAAAACACCAGTGTGGTATTGTTGCAAGAACAGGAAACGCCCATGGGACAGAATAGAGAGAGCTCAGAGACCGAAAATCCATAAGTGAAATGTTAGCACCTGGTAAAGGAGGCCTCAAAACTCCCTGGGCGATAGACAGAAAGTTTGATAGAAGGTGCTCAGACAATCGATGATGTGGAAATGAAACAAACCAGATCCTCATCTACTCCCTATACAAGGTGATGAGCATGTTAACTAACCTTATTGTACTCATTGTGCAATCCTATACAATAAAAGCCTAATATGCTAAGTGTCTGGCCGACCAGCCAGCCATTCAACCAATCGAAGAGTAATATGCTAATGATATGCTAAGGCTGCTCAACCACTCGCTATGACGTGCATGGACCACCAGGGGGCAGACGCTCTGCCCTAGCTTGCTGCTGGGGTCCAGCCAATCGGGACTGAGCGAGACAGGCCGGACACACCCTGGAGCCCTCCCGCAGTCCCTCCCCAGCTGGCCAACCTCCCGCATCCCTCCCCAGCCCCATTCATGCACCGATGGGGTCCCTTGGCCTGGCCTGCACCCTCTCGCAATCCGGGACCCCTTGGGAGATGTCGGAGAGCTGGTTTCGGCCCGATCCCACAGGCCAGGCCGAGGGACCCCACTGGTGCACGAAATCGTATACTGGGCCTCTAGAATACACATAAATCATCACATTATACACCTTGAACTTACTAGTACACAGTGTTATATGTCCATTATAGCTCCATAAAGCTGGGAGAAAAAAGATGAAGGCTTCTATTCACTGTAAACTATTTTGTACTATTTGAATTTCACCAAGTACATAATCTTTTGAAGTTGGGAGAAAAACACTTCTCCACCTCACAGGACTGCTGTGCTGAGCAAAGTCTTGAAGTTGAGGATACTGCCTCAAAAATGTTTGTCCCGTCTAATATCTCCTTTCCATCCTTCAGCCCTTGGCCTAGAATCTGACCCCGGACCCCCAGGGCCCAGCCCGTCCCCTCCAGTTTGCCCCTGTAGTTGCAGAGAGATATTTCTAAGGCCCGCATCTGACCTGTCCCTCCACTGCTCAAACATCTCCCATGGCTCCCCATTGTCCTACGTTAGTCATGGCTCTCCCTTCAAGAAAGAGTCTGCTTTACAGCTGCAAGGAGAACAGCTAGCTGACAGACTCAAGCTATAGCGTCTCTAGGCCCTGCTGCAGCATTCACACCAAAGCCACACAGACCTGGGCAGCCCCTAGCCCAGGGGTGGGCAAACTTTTTGACTCGAGGGCCACAATGGGTTCTTAAACTGGACCGGAGGGCCGGAACAAAAGCATGGATGGAGTGAAATGAAACAAACCAGATCCTCATCTACTCCCTATACAAGGTGATGAGCATGTTAACTAACCTTATTGTACTCATTGTGCAATCCTATATCATAAAAGCCTATATGCTAAGTGTCTGGTCGACCAGCTTTTTTTTTTTAGTTTTATTAATTTCAAACGGGCCGGATCCGGCCCGCGGGCCGTAGTTTGCCCACGGCTGGTCTAGCCAATGACTGAGCAGGTGGCTACTGCTGCCTGACCAATGTGAGACTCTAATGGCAGCATCCCTGCCCACTTTTACCTGTTATCCAATACTAGAGGCCCAATGCACGAAGATTTGTGTAAGAATGGGCCTTCCTTCCCCTGGCTGCCGGCACCACCTTCGCTCCAGCCGGAGCTGCCTTTCCACCTTTGCTCCAGCAGGGAGCCGCCTTTCCACCTTCCCACGCTGCCCAGTGGCCTGGAGCAGCTGGGGCGGTGTGGAACACCTGCATCGTTGTCATGGCGACAACACAAGCGTCCCACCCGCCCCCGGCTGCTCAGGGCCTGCGTATGCAAATTAACCTGCCATCTTTGTTGGGTTAATTTGCATACTCACTCCTGATTGGCTGGTGGGCATCGTGAAGGTGCGGTCAATTTGCATCTTTCTCTTTTTTTAATATATATATATTTTTAATATATTTTATTGATTTTTTACAGAGAGGAAGGGAGAGGGATAGAGAGATAGAAACATCAATGAGAGAGAAACATCGATCAGCTGCCTCC